AATACTTCATGTTGAGGGAATGTTTATTTGTTGATAACTTGCGGATGCCATCCGACATGCTGAATTGTGGTTGGTTGGCAACTCGAACAATTCAACATCTTGTGTCATCAACATCGTTACAGTTTCTTTTGACGCACGTTCTCGATTGATCCTTTAATGAAAATGCACTGGAATTTAATTTGCCTAACAAAGGCATTCCTTCAGCTTTATAAATATTGATAAGCATTAATGGTGATTATGAAATTTAAAATATTTATAAAGATGAATGAAATATCTTTTTCAGCGACAAAAGTAGTATACTGTAAATGCATTAATTATTCGCCATTTTCGCTGATAAGTTAAATCCGCTAAATTAACGTGAACATGTAAAATAACAATAAAAATTATCATTTCTTTAACAAAATAATGAAAAAAAGTGAATATGCTCAAAACATTAAAATTGTGAAAAATAAATTGTTTTACAGTAACATTTAATTTTGGCACTAATCTTACGAAGTTTTTCCATATTGGCAATATAGAACAACTATGTTATGCTCTTGTTTGGATTATATGTCTTTGAATTCAATCTCAATTGGCATGCAATTTGCACGACACACAGTAAACTGACTTCACTGCAAATCTGTATTCTTGAATGAACAACTGTGGGGTTTTTTTCAATATTGAATTTGTAGGTTATGATTTGATGATAAACAATAATAACAATTTTGCCAACGCTCAGAAAGCAATGCAAATAAGACCTATAATTTACTTACAAATGATTTTCACTATTGAGCAAATAGTTTTGACCATTTTTGCGGAATATACAGTAACATATACATATTTACTAACAACCTGTATTATGAATTAGCGTGTAGATTTTACAATGAGGAAATTGGGTTCGTTCAATTCTTGATAACATTCGATATCGTTTTGACATGTATTTATTGAATTGGAGCAAGTACAAAACAGTCCACAATAATAATAAATGAAGCAAATCGTGTTCAATGCGCCAGTCGCATCAGAGTCGCTGGCACTCAATGTGAAATCGTTTTTTTATTACCATTATTTTAACACTGTTTTCTGTAATTATGATATGTGATAGTATGTGCCCAGCTGACCACGATCACGAATGACATTAACCTTAGTTTAACATTATTATTAAAACCCATTTCAAAAACAAAGTTTCATCTTATTTGTTTTCCCCTCAGCACTGTACTGGTGTTTTGAACATGTCAATTACCAAGAAACTATACATATTTGTTGGTCTCATTTCTCTATCAGTAATTGTCAAAGTGATACTTGTATTCAGAACAACAGTAGCTTCTACCAGGTAAGTATAGTTCTAATTATCAACCTAAACAAACACACCACCCTAAACCACCGCAAGTTATTTTGTCTGACATTCCAGGATGTAATCGTGTTTTCATTAACTAGTTGTACCAAAAGTACTACTATGTGGGCGTTTGTTACGGTTGAAATGGTGTGTGGAAACAGGGTGTCCTCAACAGAATAGCAAT